ATGACAATTTATAATATGCTTTCTTTGTACCTCCTGTTCGGTCACGCATGTCCGGAAAGAAATGTCGGATACAGACAACTATTAGCGCCCATTTTGCTTTAAAAGCTTTTGCGATGCCTGTGTGTTAGCATAAACTCGCTTAAGTAAAAAAAATGGCAGCATATCCACGGAGTGAATGATGGAGAGTGGGGCGAAGCATTCGTCCGTCAATGCGTCCGTCTGTGTGACCGTCCATACGTCTGTTTGTGCGCCCGTCCCTGCGTTCTTTCGTGCATCCGCTACTGCGTCCGTTCATGCGTCCATCCATGCATTTGTTTGTGTGTCCGTTCGTTCATCTATTCAACACTCCAAGTCCCACCATCTCGCATCTTTTTATCATATATACGATGGATGGATGGATGGATGGATGTGGCTGTACCCTTTAGATCGGGTGGCGGCTTACGCCACCTAGCCGTAATATTTAGTGAACTAACCATTACATTTATCTTTTTTTTTGAAGTTGAGGATTCGTACTTCGCAGTGAAGGATTTAATTTTCACTCGTGCCTTGACTTTAGCCACCAATCAGATAACCTCCTTCTAGTTAAGTCTACCCGCTTAAAGTCTATTTTGCCCTCGCTGTCCCTAAATCCCAGTGCTTTGAAAAACTCTGCGCCATCATCCGGAGCTATAGGGTGAAGCCCTTTACAGAACATTATCAAGTGTTCGGCAGTTTCTTCTTCCTCTCCACACGCTCTGCATACTGTGTCGACCCCTTCGTATTTGGCCCGGTATGTCTTGGTTCGCAGTACTCCCGTCCTGGCCTCAAACAGTAGAGAACTACCTCGAGTATTATCATAGATCCTTTCCTTGGCAATTTCCTGCTTAAAAGTTCGATAGATCTCTAGTGCGGACTTCTTAATCATGCCCATTCTCCACATGTCAGTCTCCGTTTCCTTCACTTTTTTCTTAACCGATAGTTCTTTTTGGTTTGGCCACCTGCTGTTTTCTAAGTATTTACCAGTCAACTTCCTGGTTCGCTTCCTCCATTTTGTATCGACATTCTTCATGTACAAGTAGCTGAAAACCTTCCTAGCCCAACGCTCTTCCCCCATTTCTCTCAATCGCTTCTCAAATTTTATCTTGCTGCTAGCTTCCCTGCCCTCAAATGATGTCCATCCCATATCACCTTGTACTCCCTGATTTGGTGTATTCCCGTGAGCTCCTAAAGCAAGCCTACCTATTCCACGTTGCTTAATTTCTAATCTTGCTTGAACTTCTGATCTCATGCACAAGACCGCATTGCTGAACGTCAGCCCAGGAACCATGACCCCTTTCCATATTCCTCTCACAACATCATACCTATTGTAATTCCACAGTGCCCTATTTTTCATGATTGCTGCATTCCTGTTACCTTTAGTCGTCACGTATATTTCGTGTTCCCTCAGATACTCGGTCCCATTGCTTATCCATACGCCCAGATATTTGTATTTATCTGTTATCTCTAGCGTGACCTCCTGTATTCTAAGCTCACTACCTTCGTTGTCATTGAAAATCATGACTGCTGATTTTTCCCTACTGAATCTAAAATCTAACCTATCTCCCTCATTACCGCAGATGTCCATCAATCTCTGCAAATCTTCGTTGTTGTTGGCCATTAGCACTATATCATCTGCGTACATTAATGCTGGTAGTGCCTGATCAATAAGTTTTCCTTGTTTGACTAAAGAGAGGTTGAAGCCCAGTCCACTTCCCTCTAATTTTGCCTCTAATCCTTGTAGGTACATCATGAATAATAAGGGTGACAGGGGGCACCCCTGCCTAAGCCCCCGTTTTACCTCTGCAGGCTTGGATACCTGTTTTTCCCACTTTATAACTACCTTGTTACCTTTATAGACACCCTTTAAAAGATTAGTGACTACATGTTCCACGCCTAGTGTGTCCAGTATTCCCCACAATTCCTCTTGAACCACGCTATCGTACGCTCCCTTGATATCCAAAAATGCTAGCCACAGGGGCCTGTGTTCTTTTTCTGCTATTTCGATGCACTGCATCAGTGAGAACAGATTGTCTTCCAACCTCCTGTGTTTCCGAAACCCATTCTGCAGTTCCCCCAGCACCCCCTCATCCTCTATCCACGCCTGCAGTCTTTCCTTTATAATCTGCATCGCCAGCCTGTAGACCACTGATGTCACTGTTATAGGACGGTAGTTGTTTACGTCAGCTTTGTCCCCCTTTCCTTTATAGATCATGCTCATCCTGCTAAGTTTCCATCCATCGGGAACTTCACCATCGATTATTATTGTACTCACTGCCTCTCTCAAAGCCTGCTTAGACTTCGGACCTAATGTTTTTATCAGCCTAATTGGAATGCCATCTGGGCCTGTTGATGTACTACTAGGAACCCTTTTCTCAGCCCTTTCCCACTCTTGTTGTGAAAATGGAGCCATTGCACCACTTGATTCGTCTTTGTCTATTGTGGTGCATAAAGTACTTCTTTGTTGAAATTTTTCTGTCACCCTTGTTCTTATATATTCAATAGCTTCGTCCCCTTCTAGCCTAGCACCTTGGGCTGTAGTTATAAAGTTCTGCTCTAGGCTCGTCTCATTTCTTAGGGAGTTTAGATGGTTCCAAAATTTCGCAGCTGCCTTTCTATCTTTTTTATGTACTTCTGCCAGCCACTGAGCTCCCTTCCTTCTAATCTTTTCATTGATCAGAAGGGATGCATCCCTCCTACAGCTTAGAAAGGTTGCCCATTTTCTTTCCACATCATCTGTCGGTTCACCCCGCTGCTTAGCATGTCTGTGTTCCCTAGAGGCTTCCTGACGTTTTGCTATGGCTCTCTTAACTTCCTCATCCCACCAACTTTTGGGTTTGTGTCTTCTTTTCCGGGGTGACTTGTCACGCGTCTTAGCAAGCTCTAGCTTAAAGAGTCTAATTAGATTCGTGTATGTCCACACTGTCTTACTATCCTCAGTGATTACTTTCTCAATTTGTTTAGTGGCTATTTCAATTTGCCTTTCTGGATAAAAATTTTCCTGTAGTTGCTCATCTTGTCTCCTTCCCACTTTCACTGCTCTTCCAAAACTTAGCTTGATACGTTTGTGATCGCTACCCAGACTTCTGGAGCCACCTTCATCTATGTGCATTTCCCTGAGCTTATCATACATCCTATGTGACATCAGTGCATAATCTATCGTCGACTGAAGCCTTCCTACCTCCCATGTTATTTGCCCTTCACACTTCTCGGTACTGTTGCAAATGATCAAATCAAGCCTTTCACACATATCCATGATCATTTTGCCTGTCGGGTCGGTATACCCATCTATATCTTCTATGTGCGCATTCATGTCTCCTAGTATAATTATCTCGCCCTCTCTTCCTAACTCCTGAATGTCCTTTGATATACACTCTACCATTGCCTGGTTTTCCTCTCTGGCCTTTGCTCCCGTCCACAAGTACACGAAACCAAGGAGTGTCATTTGACCTGCCACTTTCCCTTTTAGCCATAAATGTTCCTTGCACTCCTGCTTGAGTTGCTTCTATACTACGTTGCTTCTATATACCCCATATAGAAGCAACGCCATCCAGCGGACATTCCAAGGACTAAACGAGAGGTGGCACACGCACACTTTCTTACGGCCTGCGCTTTGGGTCCACTTCCCACCTTTAACCACCTCGAGTTCATGGTATATTTTAGTTCACTGTATTCCTGGCACTGCGACCAAACGCTCGCTAAACCTTTCGAAAACCAAGGAGGTTACGCCCAGCGAGTATAACATAGCAACCTTTCCCTGTCAGATAGGGCTCAATTTACATGCCAATGGCTGCTAATGAAAAATGAGAGACAGGAGATTTCGGCTTTCACTTTCTTACGGCTTGCGCTTCGTATCTACTACTCATTTTTAACCACCTTGAGTTCATTCATGGTATATACAAGTTCATTGTATTCATGGCACTGCGGCTCAACGCTCGCTAAACCTTTCTAAAGCTAAGGAGGTTACACCCAGCGAGTATAATGTAGCATCCCTTTCTTGTCCGATAGTGCTCAATGTACATGCCAATGGCTGCTAATGGGGATTGCAGCGTGCGCGTTGACTAAAAGCCGAATGCTCATGTCTCTCATTCACCACTAGCAGCCATTGGCTTGTTCATTGAGCACTATTTTTATTGTTAAACAACGCACAGAAGAAATCTCTCACTGGCACCACCTTGGAGGTCAAGTGTTATACCTATTTCGAGTATGTGCCACTGGTGGTTACATACGAGGGACGCCCAAGCCACGCCATAAGGGAAAAATGCACCAACTCCCGGTAAAGGAAACCGTGAGTAGATGCAGAGCAGCGGTCACTAACGCTTATACTGACTGTGGCGTTTACGCTGGCACTCATCGCGGTTTTGCGCAGGAGAGAAACCTGGGGAGGCGCAAAGCAGTCACTGGGGGACCGGTGTTTTCAACTAGAACTTACCAAGCTCAGCTATGGGCAACGAAAGGCAGGTGACTCCGATTAGACACAGAGACCCGCAGTCCACTTTTAGTTAACGCGCATGCTGCAAATGTTTAATGTTCATCAACGCACAGGAGAAATCTCTCATCAGCCCTACCTTGAAGGTCAAGATATAGTGCTTATACATAGGGGTCGCCAGTGAAGGGTTCTGCAGTGCGACCAGTCAATTTTTTTTAAATCAAACTCTCCAGCAGATGCTGCTTGTGTTGGCGTTCCAGGTGAGAGAGGGGAGGAGCGTTGGAGTTGAAAAAAAAGAATGGGGAAGCGCATGTGTATTGGGTGTGTAAATTCCACTTGGAGAGATGCTTAAAGGAGATAGAAGGGGGCGCGAGTGTATGATAGCAAGTGCTGCCTACGTCGGCGTTGCGAGGAAAGAAATCAAGTAGCGTGGGAGAGGAAAGAGGGGGAGGGGTTCGCAAACACTGTAAGGGTGGTCACGCCGCACACCGGATTGAGCTCGATCATGAGACGCTCCGAGTCTAAAAGCTTGCTCTTTATTTTTTCGCATTTGCAGATGAGTGCTGGCTTCCTGGTGGCGCCCGTTCATTGGCTAGCGGCTGCACTGCTCGTGTGCTCGTTTATGGTGCTGACGCAGCCCAGCGTCTGCGCGGCGCGCAATCTGCACAAGCGCTCCTTCCACGAGCTCGGCTGCCGTGGCAACTTCGAGCAATCATACCTGGCCCGCCTCGAGCGAGTATGCGAAGAGTGCTACCAGCTGTATCAAAACCCGGAAGCCTATAATCTATGCAGGTACACAATCAGACTTCTCGAACTGACACGACGACAGCCGAACGTTTGCATAAAAACTTTTGATATAGAGAAAAAAGTGCCTTGAAGAATCGATATATAAACGCCCTCGCAGGTTCAAGCAGCCTAATGGGAGTGAAAGCCGGGCTAAAGATGGCTCTTAATTTCTTACGTCTTCTAATGCGGGCAAATGGTTGCCGTTGTTGACAGGCGATTGCTGCTAGCTGGCTCACAGTCGGCTATTGTTTTTTTATATGTTATTTTTCGCTCATGATGGCTGGTGCTTGCTAGTGCAGACAAAACATGTACAGTACCGCACAGTGCTGTTTATTTGTCCCTAAACGTTGGCAAGTGTGCTGTAAGTACTGGCTGACATTACCAGTGAACAAATGTTACTTACCATTGGCGAAGCCTAAAGGTGGGGATCAATTTTGATGGCTTATACTGATTACCACTGCCTATTGTTACCGAACTGTCGTCTCGCCTGCAGCGTGCAAGTGATTAATGTTGCGTGGCACTACCTAATTATTTCTATGTTATTAAAATTAATATATTAGTGATATGAACATTTCGCTTATAGCTTCGAGTCGATTTTGAGAATTAACATACTTCGATGAATTCCACTTTCTAATAACAGCACGTCAGCCTGCCGGAAAGTACAACTTCCTCGACGAAACGGAGGTCAAAATTGTAGTTATAGTGCCCACGTTTTTCGGAACATCAGCCATTCTTTAGAAACCTTTGTTCAGTCCACGCTGTTTTGAGGAGTGTTATGTTATTTTAATTTAAAAGTTACAATAAACAATAATACAAAACGAGGCCAGCAACCCTGCAACCTTCAGTGTGCGAAAGCAGGGCTATCCTGTTTCTTAGCTAATCCTACCTAAAACCAATTGGTGGGTAATGATTAGGTAGCTCCCAGTTAGTTATTTCACATGGCATAAGTAGCTACAGCACGCTTCATCGACGGGCACTCACTCGTGATTATACGCATGAAGAATTGTTAGGTACAGTTAGTGAAGCTAAAATGTGGTATTGAGATTTTGCGTACCACTGTATCTGTCAAGCAGCGTTGATAATCTAATCGGTCTTATTTGACATTTACATTTTGTTCATCAACGCAGGGACAATTGCTTCAAGAACGAGTACTTCCTGAAGTGTGCCGAGGCGCTGCTTCTGAAAGATGAGATGGACAGTCTCAAAAGCAAGGTCGATTACCTCTATAGCCGCTGACCGGTTTGTCAAACCAAGGAAGAGGAGCCACCCACCAGTGTTTTATGCTTTTTTTTTCAAAGACGCGCCCCAGTAACAACTGGTTATTATCCGCTCCGCGCAAATACCTATCGTAGGTACAATTACCATTTTCGCCAAGTGATGCGTAACGCGAAATACAGTAGAACGAAATCCCCTGAAAACGATTCGGTAAAACCCGGTGTGACATGTCTGCAGACACCTGGCTCGAAGAGTAACCTCGAGAAATATATGCATCTTGCTGAATCCTTTACCGCTGATAGAGCAAGCATGGCCACGTGCCTACTTCTTCACGGGCTGCGCTTTGAAGCTTTACGAAGGGATAACTCCTAGTGCGATTACGAGGATGATGACTGCTGCGTTGCGTCCACGATGACAACGCTTCTCTTAGACATTTATTTTGGCTTAGTTCCAACATAACCTTGCGTCTTCACTGCCTGCAAAGCATCGTGAATATATACATTTTGCTTCTGCGTGATGGGGGCAAATAGGCACTGCAGGCAAATTAGAACAAAAAAACATGCATGAACTAAGCCTAAATAAAAATAAATCTATTTAATCCTCTTTATACTTTCTATGTGTGTTATTGAACATTCTAATTCATTAATGGCCAATATTTTGAATCTAGAACGTTTATTCACGCGTGAACAAACGTTCGGTGGTGCTAAGGAGAAGACTTAGAACGTCTGTGCTTCACTCTGATGCCCAAACAGTGTCCGGAATCCATAGTGGATATTTGCACATTGTGATTCAGGGATTTCTTGACAAAGCAATTCATTTAGCTATCGATATTACTTCCTTATACGAGGAATACAATGTGAAGGTTTCCTTGGTGTGGCTAGATCTACGAGTCGTGTAGGCGGTTGTGTGACTACTTCTACGACGGCCCATATTTTTATTCAAGGCGATGCCCGCCCGAGACATATAAAATTTTCTGTTCAACAGTAAGACGGCCCTCGCCAACAAGGCCATCGTAGTGCTCTACCGAATACTTGTAAGTCACGGGTTCAAGTGCCAGTCATGCTGGCTGCATTTTAAGGGAAAAGAATTACGAGTTTAGGTTTCATTCATTTTGAATGGCGTCTGGTCGTCGAATTTCCGGGCTGCACCTTTCAAGCGATTATCGTGATTCTCAAAACTTAGAACCTGAGAAATATTGTAATATTAGGGAGAAGGGCGGAGCGTATTGCCACACAACAAGCCGGGTCGAGGAGCCCGCCCGTGAGCGAAAACTCCCCTAACACAACTATACTTCGCCCACATTTACGTAGTAATGCATGAATACATAAGGCATAATGACTTATGCAATTCCATGACAATGATGCAGTCCCTTGAGGACCTAGGAAGACGAAGAAGTGTGTTTTGAATAGGAGCTACTTCTGCTAACTCCGGCGTATTTCAGTTGTAATTTAAGTCTGTTGATCCGTTTTCGCTGCTCCCTTGGAGGGGATGGATGTAGACCATCCCGGGCGCCTGCCGGCACCAGCGGCGTCAGCGGCGGCCACCTCCAGGAAGCGGATGGGACAAACGAGCGACAGCGACAGTGAAGATACTCATGCTTACGATCTCAGCAGTGAAGACTTCTCAGATGACGGTTTCCAACCTGTGCTGAGCCGCAAGGCGAAGAGAAGGAACATGAGGACATCCTCATCCTCAACTATTCAAACTGTAAGTGAAGCGCCAAAATCGAACACTTATATTATCCTGTTTCTGTCTGCACTTCCTACCGTCAGCGTGAAACGCCTTAACAGACAGTCTGTGTCGAGGTCTCTGGAAACGCTCGTGCCAAATGAGATCACGGACATAGAGTGAACGCCAGAAAGAATATACTGGCTGTGGACGTTCTGCACGCATGTGCGTTGGGCGTTCTGCGCAGTGTAACTGACTTGGACGGCAACCAGGTGCGCTCTCATGTTCCCTTTGGATGTGATGTAGTAACCGGCGTGATCTACGACATTGATGTCGCTATTTCCAATAAGGACTTACAACTTCTTGTCAAGTCAACAACTGATACTCCAATTATTGATGTCACCCGGCTAAGCAAGTCTCGCTGTGTGAAGATTGCGTTTAAGAGCACATCACTCCCCTCTCATGTGAAGGTGGGGTACTTCAGACATGCTGTGCGGCCTTTCATTCCAAAGCCTCTCCAGTGCCGTAAATGCATGAAACTTGGACATGTGAGCAGCGTCTGCGAGAATTCAGTGGTATGCCACCGCTGCGCCGAGCACCATGAAGCGGATAAGTGCGTCGCAACTGTCAAGAAATGCTCTTATTGCAATGGATCCCATGAAGCCACATCGAAGGACTGCCCGCGGATTCAGAAGGAAATTGCCATCTTGAAGGAGATGGTGCGCGATCACTCATCTCATCGAGAATCCGCAGCTAAAGTCAGAAGGCGTCGTTCACGTCGACGTCGGTCTTCGAGGACGCCCGCTACCTCCTCGACACGTTTGCGTGATCCCTCATCAGTACCACCTCCTTTGCCTCCCAGACCACATGCCGTGGGAAAGGCTGTAAAGAACAAAGCCAGTGAGCATACCCTAACTGCGACAGAGTGGCCTGCACTTCAAAGGGAAGCAGCATCAAGCGAACCGAAGGAGCTTCATGACGGCCAGTCCGCGCTCCCTGTTCGAGATCTTTCCAACCAAGACAGGCAAGTGACTGCAATCGTCCCGGTTCGAGATCTTTCCAACTAAGACAGGCAAGTGGCTGCAATCGTGCAATCAATAATTGCCACGATTCGCACGCTACTGAGCAGCATACAATCTCCGTCTGCTAAGAGTGCACTGCAAATACTGGATGCACTGAATCTAGTTCTTGCTAACTTCGTATAAGCACAATGGCTCAACAAAATCTCATATTCCGCACTGAAGTTAAAAGTGCATCAATTTTTCAGTGGAATGCCAGAGGCATGAAGTCCCGTATCGCGGACTTTCGCCAAATTGTTCGGGCCAATCAATTCCCTATACTTGTCATATGTGAACCAAACGTATCAACGCCTTATAGATTGTCCGGTTATGAAGCTTTTTGTTCAGCCGCTTGCGAAGAACGAAGCAAAGTAATTGTTTACGTTCGCACAGACTTGACTTATCTTTCGCACCCAATAAGTTCAAATGACGAAAATCAGTACGTGTGTCTTCGTGTGAAGAAGAATGCAGTTTCGTTCACGCTTATTGGTGGATATATATCTCCGTCATCGCGATTTGACTGCGACAGATTAAGAGACATCCTAATGAGAACCGATGGGCCTTGGATCATCACCGGTGACTTCAACGCCCATCACATGCTTTGGGAGAGCACTAGGATGAATGCCAGGGGCCGGAACATTGTGACATTCGCTTCCGATTACGAGCTTTCCATCATGAACGATGGTACCCCCACATATCTGCGGGGTCTCACGTATGGCAGTTGCCTTGACCTGACATTGGTGTCACGGTTCTTCTCTCACAAAGTTAAGTGGTTTTGCGATATTGAGACTCATGGGAGTGATCACATACCCACCTACGTGACGATCAATGGTATCATAAAAAATTTCTCTTCCGGTGTTGCAATTGGCACTGACTGGTCGATGTTTGAATCGCGTGTTGAGAACGCTTGCCAAGAAGGCCTCGCCTGCAGCCTGGAAAATACCATAGCGGAAGCTATGCAAGCGTCCAAATGTAAATTACCATTTTCGTCTAAAGTAACACAGTTTGACATCGAACTGGAAAAATTACGAGCTATACGAAGGCGTGCTGAACGACGATACAGACGCACAAGATCAATTAACGATCTGAGGGAAGCAAGGCGGCTCCAGAAAAAGATTCAACGACGAATTTACAAACTGGAGAGCGAACGCTGGAAAGCATTCTGCGAATCTCTAGACCCTCATAAACCTCTGTCATATATCTGGAGAAGAGTTCGTGGTCTTCGCTCCTCTCCCAAACAACGGCACCCTTTTAAAGCTTTGGCACTCCATCATGGAAAAACAGAACTCGAGGTGGCTGAAGAATTTTGCACGAGAGTTGCCGGGAATATTATGAACGAGAGCATTGACGCCGTGATCGTTCCTGAGCGCGATTACCAGAAATGGACATTCCGTTCACCATGGAAGAACTGGAAGGTGCGTTAGTCGCTTCTAAGCGCATGTCATCGCCAGGTCCTGATGGTATTACTTATAGTGCGTTGGGACACCTTGGACAAAAAGCCAGAAAAGAACTTTTAACATGTTTCAACAACTCCGGGCTCAGCGGCTGTGTTCCTCGAGAATGGAAAATAAGTCGATTAATACCACTTTTCAAATCGGGAAAATCACCATTGGACTTGACAGCGTATCGCCCTATTGCCCTCGCAAGCTGCCTCGAAAAAGTGATGGAAAGAATGGTTCTATTTTGTCTCGAGTGGTACTTGGAACGATACACCAAATACCTTTTTTGCATTGCAGGCTTTCGTCGGGGCTGCTACTCCATTGACTGTGTCCTTGACTTATCCACATTTCTTCAACAAGAAAAAAGTCGCAAGCGCATATCAGTAGCACTCTTTCTTGACGTGAAGGGTGCATATGATAATGTAGCTCACGATGCCATCCTCACTTCTCTCGCAGTAATGGGCATTGGTGGACGAATGTTTCAATGGATAAAAGATTATATAACTGGCAGGGGTTTCTTTGTACAAACAGATGAGGGAACAACTGCCCAACATTACACCTACTGCGGAGTACCTCAGGGAGGTGTTTTAATCCCCACATTGTTCAATGTGGCCCTCATTGGTCTGGTGAAGGTTCTGCCAAAGTCGGTGTGCCTATCCATATACGCCGATGATATTTGCCTCTGGAGTGCTGCAGTTACTCGCCCTCAGGTGCGTGCACGAATACAGCGGGCAGCAACCCTCACAACAGCCTACCTTCAGAAACAAGGCCTAACTATATCAACTGTGAAGTGCGCGTTCATGGCATTTACACGCAAACCAATGACGCCATACCCTGTTTACATCAATGGGTTGAGTGTCAAATATGCACGGACGCATTGTTTCCTGGGCATAATA